ATCTATCTATCTATCTATCTATGTATCTATCTATGAAAAGATAGGGGAAAAGGTTTTGGCAGCCTTGATATATGTATATAAACTGAAACATTTAGAAAATTTAACATAAATGAAGTATTTTATTATAATATAGTCATTTCTGCAGTTTTTGGGGAGGTCACCTCCTAATAAATGTCCTTACAGAAAATCTAACTGCTCATTTTAAATCCTTACTTTGACTTTTAATACTTAACTACAACAACAAATATCACATACTTTAACACTTTTAATACTTAACTACAACAAATATCACATACTTTAACACTTTTACTCAAGTAATATTCCTAAAGGACACTTTAACTTTTAACAAAGTATTTTATTTTTGGTAAGATACTTGTACTTTTACTCAAGTATCACCTTGTGGTACTTTACAAAACACTGCTTTTTACAGTTACTCTTACACACCATGCCCTGCAGAAACATCAGTAACTGCTGAAACAAGCAGACCATAAAATGGGAGGAGCTTTGTTTTTACCCAAAAGGGGGCGGCGCCTTGCACAGAAGCTATTTACTTGATTCTGTTTGTTTTATTTATAGATATTTTGGAGGCATCAAACTTTTTAAGCAGTCAGCAAAGTCCTGGCAGTCCCGTGGATGACCTTTCATCTGATTTTAATACTTTGGTCACATTAAAGCTGTGTGAGCTCAAATATACAGCACTGCACATTACTACAGCTTCCAATAGACAAGTCATTATATTTATTACATTAAAAAAATTTAAAAAAAAGTTTGCAGCTCTTTAAGAGAATAAAAACAGAAAATGATCACTTTGCTTTTTACAAAGAAGAAAAACATCAAGAGTTCCAGAAAAATCAGTTTGTGAAAATACAGTTTTTGCATCAGTTGTTCCTCGAGTTGATAAAAAGTTTCTTTCAAAGTTCCAGTTTGGAGAAAAACCTGCTGAAGGTTCAGAACAAGTTTAGATGAAATTTATACTTCTTTAAAATATTCTAATGATGAGGAGCATGGGACAGGTCCTCTGTAGCTTCAGGTCAAGAACTTCCTGTTGGATCAGTTTCTTCTGGGACCTCCTCCAGGGTTGGAGGAGGCGAGTCTCTCTGCTGTGGACAGACTCTGGACCCTCGCTGCCGCAGGTCACCTGACAGGACATCCTTGTCCACTGGGATCAGGGTTTTCCTCAGAGACTGGAACGAAACAAACCAACTGAACTGAAGGTCCTGCTGATGGTTTATGAAGACCTTTACTTTGAAAGTCTGGTTTTTGTACCTGGTTCTCAGCCAGTGCCTCTTTAGCCATGTAATGCTCTCTCTTCATCTTCATCTCGACATCCTCAGGGATGTCTGGAACCATCATGTCGATCAGGCGGCCGATGAAGAAGACTACGTGCTGAGGAGGAACGAGGGTAAAACCCTTCATCACTACAGTCGACACATGAACGGTTAGGGGTTAGGGTTAGGGGTTAGGGGTTAGGTTTAGGGTTAGGGGTTAGGTTTAGGGTTAGGGGTTAGGGTTAGGGGT